GTATTCGTAGTCTTTCATTAACCTTATCCATTTTTGTTGTTTCTTATTATGATCTTTTTTGGTCAAAAAAAGATCACGCAAACGTTATGATCATTGTAGATTTGGAAATTAACTCCATTTGGCTAGTATCTCCATATCGTCAATGCGTATACCATAGCAACTCACTAAAGATCATGAGTTGGATACCTTTTTCATGAGTCATTGAATTGACGAGATATGTGTCTAATAATTCGGCCTCGTTGCATCAACCAAAATCTCAACCAGTTCGAGAGGCGTCAAAATAAACCACAAAGTCCTTGAATTTACAATTTCTGACTACCCACTAACAAATTTTTTCATAACTTAGTCATAATTCACCTTTCATATAACCCTTACTTGGTACAATTCATAACTATATTTACGTTCATGTATCCCCAAATGCTTTTCGTTTTTATACACAATAATCTTCCTATTTAAGGTTTGCTAGATTGTGTCTAGGTTTCTGAAAGAGTCTTACATGAAAATCCCATACTAGTTTACCAATGTTAAATTCACATGGATAAACAAAAATACCCAAAAGACATTTAGGAACCAGTCAACACATGCTAACAACTAATTGCTTCGTACCAAATGGTTAATGGACTAGCGGTAATGAACGACTCTCTTATTTGAGAGGTCATGGGTTCAAGCCTCGACGGAGATATATGTGGTTATATAGTAGTATGTTAGTTAGTTTGTTGTTTTTAAAAAAACCTAATTGTTTCGTAATTACCCTTTAAGCTTGAGTTTGTACATGAAATTCATAATCAATTTAAAATAAACTAAACATAACAGCTTAGTAACAAGTTATGGGCTTCTTGGTCAAAAAGATAACGTATTCGTAATCTTTCATTAACCTTATCCATTTTTGTTGTCTCTTGTTATGATCTTTTTTAGTCTAAAAAAGATCAGGCAAACGTTATGATCATTTTAAATTTGGAAATTAACTCCATTTAGGTAGTGTCTCCATATCGTCAATGCGTATACCATAGCAACTCACTAAAGATAATGAGTTGGATACCTTTTTCATGAGTCCTTGAATTGACGAGATATGTATCTAATAATTCGGCCTCGTTGCATTAACAAAAATCCCAACTAGTTCGAGAGGCGTCAAAATAAACCACAAAGTCCTTGAATTAACAATTTCTGAATACCCATTAACAAATTTTTTCATAACTTAGTCATAATTCACCTTTCATATAACCCTTACTTGGTACAATTCATAAATATATCTACGTTCATGTATCCCCAAAGGCTTTACGTTTTTATACACAATAATCATCCTATTTAAGGTTTGCTAGATAGTGTCTAGGTTTCTGAAAGAGTCTTACATGAAAACCCCATGCTAGTTAACCAATGTTACGTTCACCTGGATAAACAAAAATACCCGAAAGACATTTAGGAATAAGTCAGCACACGCTAACAACTAACTGTTTCGTACCAAATGTCAATGGCCTAGCGGTAAGGAGCGACTCTCTAATTTGAAAGGTCATGGGTACAAGCCTTAGTGGAGACATAAGTGGTTATTTAGTAGTATGTTAGTTAGTTTTGTTGTTTTTAAAAAAAACCTAATTGTTTCATAATTACCTTTTAAGCTTGAGTTTGTACATGAAATTCATAATCAATTTAAAATAAACTAAACATAAAAGCTTAGTAACAAGTTATGGGTTTCTTGGTGAAAAAGATACCGTATTCGTAGTCTTTCATTAACCTTATACATTGTTGTTGTCTCTTATTATGATCTTTTTTGGTCTAAAAAAGATCAGGCAAATGTTATGATCATTGTAGATTTGGAAATTAACTCCATTTGGCTAGTGTCTCCATATCGTCAATGCGTATACCATAGAAACTCACTAAAGATCATGAGTTGGATACCTTTTTCATGAGTCCTTGAATTGACGAGATATGTATCTAATCGTTGCATAAATAAAAAACCCAACCAGTTCGAGAGGCATCAAAATAAACGACAAAGTCCTTGAATTTACAATTTCTGAATACCCACTAACAAATTTTTTCATAACTTAGTCATAATTCACCTTTCATATAACCCTTACTTGGTACAATTCATAACTATATTTACGTTCATGTATCCCCAAAGGCTTTACATTTTTATACACAATAATCTTCCTATTTAAGGTTTGCTAGATAGTGTCTAGGTTTCCGAAAGAGTCTTACATGAAAAACCCATACTAGTTTACCAAAGTTAAGTTCACGTGGATAAACAAAAATACCCAAAAGACATTTAGGAACAAGTCAACACATGCTAACAACTAATTGTTTCGTACCAAATGGTCAATGGCCTAGCGGTAATGAGTGACTCTCTTATTTGAGAGGTCATGGGTTCAAGCATTGGCGGAGACATAGGTGGTTATTTATTAGTATGTTAGTTAGTTTGTTGTTTTGAAAAAAAACTTAACTATTTCGTAATTACCCTTTAAGCTTGAGTTTCAAGGCCGACTTTATGTATAAGTTTTTTAAGCTAGGGCTTAGGGCCCCCAATTCTATGGGCCCCATATTATCCAAAGTACCAAAGTTTAGTCCATTAAAACACCCAATCCCGTAGCTACAAAATAAATCAAATGGAAGAATAAACCAATGATCGCTAGACCTATGAAACTAAAACGACATTGCATGCTTCTACCGAGTTTGATTTCTACGACACAGTATCATCCGTTTCCGATTTCCAAATGAACGAGTCCGAAGAAATACACATTTATCTTCTATTCTTCTGACTTCTATGTTGATTCTTGATTCAAATCCTTATATGTATGTGTTTCACTTTCACTACATTATTTTACTGTTAGACTATTTTCCTTTCCTTAATATATTCTAGTATCTTCTGTCTTGTTTGTCGATTCTCTATTAGAAGTCTTCTACATGTATTATCATTAATTGAAATGGATATGAGTAAAATCACATCTTAAAGAAAGCAAAATGTAGGGGTGATTTGATTCGTTAGTCAGATCACTTTCAATTACTTTTTCAATTAGAATATAACTATGTGATTAAGTTATCTACTCCTAAATACATATACTCTTGACATTGAATGATAGCTTTTTGTAGCAAGTTTGTTATGTACTTTTGTTATATTAGGTGTTATAAGAATCATATAGAAATTTTCATCAAATTCTTGTTGATTTAGGTTATTACATCAGGTAAACTTCTTTATACCATATTAAAATTATCCATGAAGAAAACATAAAGAGTGAATTTGTGTGTCAATACAATTGAGGAGTATAGTAAAGGCCAAAGGGACCTAAAATTTTGGTTCGCTTATAGCCCTCAAATTGGTTGAGCCGCCGTTGTTGAGTGTGTACCTGAAATTCATAATCAATTTAAAATAAACTAAACATAAAAGCTTTGTAACAAGTTATAGGTTTCTTGGTAAAAAAGATACCATATTCGTAGTCTTTCAATAACCTTATCCATTTTTGTTGTCTCTTATTATAACATTTTTTGGTCAAAAAAAGATCAAGCAAACGTTATGATCATTGTAGATTTGGAAATTAACTCCATTTAGGTAGTGTATCCATATCGTTAATGCGTATACCATAGCAACTCACTAAAGATCATGAGTTGGATACCTTTTTCATGAGTCCTTGAATTGACGAGATATTTATCTAATACTTCGGCCTCGTTGCATCAACAAAAATCCCAACCAGTTCGAGAGGCATTAAAATAAACCACAAAGTCCTTGGCACTTTACAAAAATACGAAATTTGGAGCTTCACATAGTAATTTTTTCAATTTCAAAACTGTTCATTATTTAAACTTTGTCCATTCAATTTTTTTGTCACCTTGGTAAACTTCACACAAGCAAAATTCACACTTAAGGATTTTATTTTTGTTTAAATTTTCCTTCATGAGAAAGTTAAATAACATCCGCAAGTGAATTTCATGTTCTTGAATCCTTGAATAAATTAAGATGTCATCGATAAAAACACTCATGAATTTGTCTAAAACATTAAAAAAAATTACTATTCAACAGGTTCATAAAAGTCGTTGGGGGTATTCATTAATCCAAAAGGTGGCACTAGAAACTCATAATATTCATATCTAGTGTGGAAAGCCATTTACGAATTTCTTCGTTTTGTACGATCCAATCTTAGATCAATTTTGAAGAAACATGTTGTCCTTTGAAGTTAATCAAACATATCATCTATCCTTGGCAATAGATCTATACCTATCTTTTATAGTGGTATTATTTAATTCACGTCAATCGATTTTTATTTTTTAAACACCTACGTATTTCCAAAATATTCATAGTGGTAACCAAACATTCCATTTCCATCTATAATTTAGGCCGGTTGCGTGGAAACAAATAAACTATGATAAATAAAAAACTAGTGAGATTTATTGATCTCAGATACATGAAGTCTTTTGTACATATATTAATCCATAAAAATGGATACAATAATGGACAACGGGATATATTGAAAACTGTCTTTTGAATAAGAGTTCTAATCCAAAAAGGTATTCTATTATCTTCATACTCTTGAGATTCTCATGATCTAATTCTGATGAAAAAAATTAAAACCTATGATGTATGTCAATTTTGAAAAGTTACAACTTATACATGAGGGAGAACAATGAGTTATCATATCAAAACATAACCACTAAAATCTTATAAAAATCCTCATAACATAAGACTATCTAAGAACATCTCCAACCTTTAACACTATATTTTACGTTAAATTTATAATTATAGTGTAAACGATAGTGCAACCATTAAATTCTCTCTAACTCGTTACACTATCTTAAACACTAAAAAACATTCTAGGTATATACTATTTTATCCAACTTTCATAGTGTAAAAGATAATGTTGATGAATAGTATAACAGTGTATTTAGTGCTATATTATTCACCAGCACTATAAGTATTGTTAGGTTTAGTGTGAAGTTGGAGCCTTTTAGTGTAAAAATGAGTTTAGTGTGGGATTGAAGATGCCATAAACATAACTTTCTTAATTTCATTTATCAACATGCATGAACAACATATGAAATGTATATGGCACGGTACATGATAACATGTAATAACAATCATCATGGTAAAGATGAAAATAAATGTACATGGTATCACCTATATGTACGTAAATGCAATTATAAAGGAAAATACTATGCATGTCATGGATCGAGAAAACTTAAATCTTCAAAAATTAAAGCATGAAAATACTTAAATTTTGTAGGTGATTATATGAGTAAACCTAGATTTTCGCAGGTGATTACATATGAAAATCTAGGTTTTCTCATATAATCATATACGGAAAATATTAAAAACATACTTGTTTATGGTAATGCACATTAAAAACATAGCTAGGAATAATTAACTCATTGGTTTAAGTAGATTCTTATCTCTTCCATCCATATTTTTAAAAAGAATCTCTAATGGTTTGTTAAAAAAAAAGCTTATATATAAGACCATACAACGGTCGTGGAGAGATTTCCGATTATCCACCAAAAGCCACGAACCCACTTCGGAGTGGGTACAACGACCGGAAGAGAAGAACGAAGAGAGAAGAGAGAAGAGAGAGAAGCAGACGCTGAGAGTGAAGAAGAAACTGATTGGTCGTCCGCCTCCGTGCTCGCCACCACAAATCACCACAACCATGAGCCACCACGGACCGGCGGGATAGTGTGCACCGTCGTGGTTCGTGGCCACGTCAACAACGATCATGTTCGTTGCAGGTATACTAGATGATCTTAAGAGACCACACCGAAACCAAACACTTAAGCCTATATCGAGTTTTTTTTTGCAGATATTTTAGTAGGTCATCAAGATTTTTATACATATATCGCGTTCAAGTATATATTTTCACGAGCCATCAAAATTTTAGTCGGTGACAACCTACACAAATCATGGCTAAAAAGTTCCATTAACTATTTTTTTTAAAAAAAAAATTTCTTGGGAAGTAATTTAAGGAATTTAGCTACTTTATGTTAATATTTTTATTTTATGTATTTTAAAAACGTCAAAGTAATACTATTGTTTTAGATATTGCTTATGTAAATTAAAAACCGAAAATAAACACTTTTGTTATAACATTAAATATTTTGGGAATATAAAAAGAGAGACAATTAAAAAGGAAGGTGGGGTGTGCAAAAAGAGAGAGATAAGACTTGGTGTTTTGGATTTGATGTCAGCTGCTGTAAGTGCAAGCAACAACAACAACAACTCAACACAGTTATCGGTTGGATTTTGCTTTATTTATTGTTTCATTTGTCCATGGAAGAACCTCCATTTTAAGTCCCCTTTCTTTTTCCTTAACCTTTCTCTCTCCTCTCTCCTCTCTCCTCTCTCCTATCTCTTTCTTTCCTTCTCCCCTCTCTCTCTCTCTCCTCTCTCCTCTCTCCAGAAAAAAAAAGAGCTGTTTTACCCACACAAGTAAGTCTTTCTCTCTCCCTCTATCTCTCTCATATACAAATTGTTATTTCTCTCTTTCCCTCTCTTATCATCTCTAAAATATTTGACTTATTGAACTTTTTGAAGCTCATACACATATGGGTTCATGTTATCTCACTCGATCTTCAATTTCTTTTTTACACTAAGATCTGATTTTTTTTTTTACCCTTTTATTGATCTGAAATTGAAATCGATTTGTAATTGGATTGTGTTTTTGGCTATTTGCATGTTCGTTTCTGGATCCGCAATCGTTATTATCCATGATTTTGTATTGGATCTGTTTGATTTATCACCGTTTGTCTTAGATCTACTTTTGGAGCCCTAGAATTTTCAATCTGCTCATATTTGAATTGCTGAATTGCATCTGTTGTTTGGATCTTATCCTTTTTCTACGGTTATAGATTGTTGTTTGATTTGTTCGTTAGCCGATTGTATCATCATGTTCGCATCGGATCTCAAAGCATTTCAATTTTTCTTTCATATTTGGTGTAAAGGGTTTCGATTTCGTTTTCGTTTTCGTTTTCGTTTTGCCTCTGTTTATATCGTTAATCTTTCACGTCTTGAAAAATGTGACAATGGTGTTTTGTTGCTGCATCTACAGCTTCCATGGATGACGACGGATTGAACATGCGAAATTGGGGGTATTACGAGCCTTCATTCAAAGAACATCTCGGTTTACAACTAATGTCACCTCTCACAGATCATCGAGACACAAAACCTTTCTTATCTTCCCGAGATAACCCCCTCATGATGAACCAAAACGGAGCATCATCCATGGCGGCGGCTTACCACCACCGCCCACAAAACTGCGTCGTTTCAGAAGCACCGATACCTCTTCATTACATGAGAGACAGCTGGATACAACGAGAACGACTCCTCCATATGCTTCCCGGAAACCCAAATTTCTCTCTTCTTCCCGATGCTTCCGCTTCCAATTCAATGCACATGATGCAACAACAACAACAACAACAACAACAACCCATCGATCTCCCAAAAGACACTCTCGACGACAATAATGGCGGTGGAGGTGGCGGCGGCGACACTGGCGTAAGTGGTCCTGTGAAGAAAAGATCAACAACAAACCCTAAAACCCCACGAGCAAAAAAACCGAGAAAAGCTCCAGCTGTACCCAAAGAAAACAGCGGCAACCACCATGGTCAAAGGTCAAAGGTCGTGAAGAGAAGTATGGATGTGGTGATTAACGGGATTGACATGGACATTTCTGGTATTCCTATTCCTGTTTGTTCATGTACAGGGGCACCTCAGCAGTGTTACAGGTGGGGCTCCGGTGGGTGGCAATCAGCCTGTTGCACCACCACCATATCGATGTATCCATTGCCGATGAGCACTAAAAGACGTGGGGCAAGAATTGCAGGGAGGAAGATGAGTAATGGCGCTTTCAAGAAAGTGTTGGAGAAATTAGCATCCGAAGGTTATAACTTTGCGAATGCGATTGATTTGAGGCTTCATTGGGCAAAACATGGAACTAACAAGTTTGTAACAATCAGATAGATGAGATGAGATCATGTGATGTGACTTTTTTAAGTTGTTTCAAGAGGTGGTATACTTGCCCATGGATATTTCAGTTTTTTTTTTTTTTTTTGAAGCTGTAGACATTTGGGGTTCCATTTTTATTTCAATTTATGCTTAAAAAACAAAAGGATATGATATTTCTTGGTAACTTTAACGCTAGATTTATGGTTCGAGCTTTTTGATGTTTTAACTTATAGTCACATTGAATGGATATTTTTATCATCTCTTGTTCTTGCATTTTTTTAAAGTGTGGAGTCTTTTTGATCCAAAATGAGATACCTTTTGTGATGCTGAGGTTGATTATATACAGCGCGGTCGATCGAGAACAAAACAAAAGGGAAGTTTTAAATTTGTTCAAAAAACACAATTCAAGTATTCCATGTTCAAAAAACACCATCAAACTAAGTCCTATATTCAAAAAATACAAACGAAGTAAGTTCAAAAAATATCATCTTTATTGTTTGAGGTAACTTATAAGTTTAGTTCCTAACTTTTTTTTTTCTTAACTCGAATAGTTTCTAACGTTTATATTTATTTTTCCTTTGGATCATGATCGAGTTAAAAAACTAATATACAATTATTAGTTTCATTTAACATTTATTTTTATTACTTGTTAATTATTTATACAATTGATATATTTATAATAAATAATAACATAAATTGTATAGATAATTAACAAGTAATAAAAATAATATTAAATGAAAGTAATAAGGGTATATTAATCTTTTAACTCGATCATGGTCCGAAGTCGAAACAAATTTAAAATAAAGGGACCGTTCGAGTTTAGTCTGAGTTTAGAAAAAAAAAAATTAGGGACTAAATATGTAAGTTACCTCAAACCATAGAGATAGTGTTTTTTTGAACAGAATATGTACTTCGTTGGTGTTTTTTGAACATATGTCGTAGTTTGATGGTGTTTTTTGAACATGTAACACTTGAATGGTTTTTTTCGAACGAATTTGAAACTTCGATGGTCTCTTAAGTAATTTTTCCAAAACAAAATGTCAGGGGTAGTACGAAAAAATTACTCTCTCAATTTTTTTTCAAACAATTTAAAAAAATATGAGGGGTAGTTCGGTTCCTATTAAGGTATAATTGATGGAAGTTTAATTTGAGGTTAAATCATTTAATTTGTCAAATTTTATTTTATGTTTATTTTGAGTTATTTTTTTCCACATATTATTTTATGAGTTTTTCTATTTTATTAAATTTTATATAATATTTTAATGTAATAATTGTAATAAATGCATATCAATTTTATTAATAAATTTACCTTTTAATTTTAAAATCCTCAAATTAAAGTTCATTAGTTCATTTTATTTATTTAAATTATTTATTTAAAATGTTTAAATAAAAAACTAAATATCCTAAACTATTACAATGAAATGACCTAAGAAAATAGTGATAGTACACTCAACTCGAAGGAGCAAGCTCAAGATAACTAAGAGAACTAAAAAACTACAACACGTTTTATAAGAGTAAAACTTGTGGACTCACCAACATTATGTTGACTTTTCAAAATCACATGTATTCTCAGGAGAATGAGTCCGAATGAAGAGGGAAGTAACCCTGGTGATGCAACTCAAAGTCTATGTGCCTTACTATTGTACTTTGCTTTTATGATCTATCTATACCTCGAACAACTTTGTAACATATTTTATTAAATGAATAAAATGTGACATTGTATGATATATCGATGTATTATTCAATGTATGTCAATGGCCTGAAATCAAACATCCTAATGTCGCACAACCTGACGTTTCTACCACGACCGAGGGTGTGGCAACACGCCTATCTGTGATTGAGTGTAGTGACTTAGAACATTGGGATGACCCCTGAGGCGAATACATATAGGTATGTAAGGTAGTATGATCCCATACTACTAGAAACATATGATCCGTATGAGTCCTAGGAAAAGTCCCACGGGCGTTGAGGAGCTAGTAGATAAGTGTATAACCTATGATAACCATGACCTAATTTTGAACTATCCTTTGTTTGTTTTCTGTATGGTGATGACTGGAGGTTCATGTTCAGGCACACCATGTTGGATTAGATGTCTAAGCCCATAACTATAATTGATATGTACTTGGCCCTATAGTAGCATGGCCTTTTGGATTGCCTTCACCGGATCAATTTGATAGGATTGATATTTGAGAAAGAGGTTATTTGTGATTTATTATGTGAATAATATATTATTATTTAATTGCTATTGATCAAGAACTAATTTGTAATTAATTTGGTGATCAAAAGAGACTGATTAAATTTGTAGGGACTGATTAAGGAAATCAGTAATACTTATAGTTTGGGCTAATGATCCATGTTGATTAGGGATGGGCTAAATCTATGTGAGAGTCCATGAAGAGTTAGTCTGAAGGGCCTATCATATGGATTCTTGGAATACTTAAAGGTTTATGTAAATTAGGGTTTTATGTATGAAACCCTAGGAATTCCACACTATAAATGTAACCCATAACACCCCTAAAATCGGCCAATCATTCCAAGGTGAAACCCTAGCTGATTTTTCTACTTCCTAACCTCTCTCTCATAAGCCCCCTCTTGCTTTTGGTGTTTGTGACTTATTTGAGGTATCATATTTGAGGTACTAAGCTCTTGAAAGGCCAAGTTATACAAGCTACAATAAAGAGGTATTCATCTAACTTGTCTTATGTTGCAAATCTAAAAATTATATGCTAGTTAAGGTTCATGCTTTGGATAAACGAAAATTGCATGTATAACTTGAGGAAAATTAGATCCAAAGCATTAGGTTTGTATGTGCACCATATGATTGTTATAGTGGTCAAAACCCATCAGTGGTATCAGAACCTAGGGTGTTTTATGTTATATTGATGCAATTGTATTGTTTTCAAAGTTGACAAAATTTCATTTTTGGCCTCTGACTACAAGACTCGACGATACCTATGAAGGAACTCGATGAGTAGGGACAACTCGACGAGTCCACTGCCTGGTTAGATGAGTTGGATCATCTGTTTGCGGATTTTTGAGTTTTTGGCTAGATTTGGATTAGGATGGTTACCACAAACTGTTTTGACTGATACATTTCGATTTTTCTGATAAGGTAATGATTATCCTCATCCAATTGAATGATGATTGTCAAATTTTAAGATAAATACTTTGTTTTGTGAAAAAAATTATTTATTTGTAGAATTTTATTTGAATCATCTTACTATATGAAATTAGATTAGGTCAATTTTGTGATATAGTTAATTATATGATTTAATTGTTTTCAAATTGATCTAAGAGAGTTTTGAAAAGTTTCAAAATTTTCCCTCAATTTTTGGAATTTAAAAATTGATTAAAAAGTTTTAATTTTTAAATATTTAAATTCTAAACCCTAGAGTTTTAAAAGTGTGAAATTCAACCCTTATACTATTGTAATATTAATAACTTAATACTTATATATGTATAAGACAGCCAGTCTTACCGTTAGTAGGCCTCATTCACGAAACTGGTCTATAAAGGGGTATAAGGAAATTGCCTATAAAATGACGACTGAATGAGTTTCCACTTTCACCCACCGCTCCCTTGACTAGTGGATGATCGTTAGCCGAACGGGTATGATATGACATTAATTCTCATTAAAAAGTATAATGATAATTATAAAAGTAACTTAATGTTTTTTATTAATTCCTAATCTTAGTTACTTTAGGAAAAATGTGAAAATGATGCTATTCCATGAATTTTCACTTTGCACCTTGCCAAGTCATTAGTGGAGCGTGCGTGGTTAACCGACACACTAATTTGGACTAACAAGGGTGGCAAAGGGTAGCTCGATGTTTGTTATAGATCGATGGAGCGTGTGTGGTTCTCCAACACATTGACTAGGAGATAAATAACATCAAGAGTACCATGCATATTTGCATGGTTATTCACACTTTGTTTGTGATCCTCGGTATCCCAGTCACATACTTGAAGGGCATAATCGAGATTCAAACATGCCATTGAAAAGTTCAATGAATATCAAAGAGCTAGGAGTTTCATAAAACTTAATTGTTTAAAATTTTAGTTTTGGGTGGTGAAATTGGTAAATCGTCATTTACCTACCTTCAAATATTTTGCAATTGGATTACGACACCCTTCTTCCGAATTGTGAAATATTGTGTTTGGATCCTAGCATTAATATTTCATTTGAGTGTTATATTAAGGAATTTCTATCTAATGAAACTTGTCTTTCTTTTATGATATTTTCTTCAAACAACGCTTCAAACTCAAATGCTTCTGGATATTTCTCCCTCATGAACTTATGTGGGAGGGTCATTTTCGATGGGTCGAATTTCAGAAACATTCGCATGGCCATTCGATACAAGGAAAAGGAATATGTCCTCAACAAAAATCTAAATGAGATTGATGAAGAAACTGCTACTCCTGAGTAACCGGCTGAGTATAGGGCTCATGAGAAGGACGTGACAAAGGTGTCGTGCATCATGCTAGCCACTATGACTTCTGAGCTTCAGAAGTCCTACGAGGACTTCTCGCATTTCGATATGCACCAAGACTTGATGGAAAGGTAGAATCAGAGTGCTAAACAAGAAAGGTATGAAATCATTTCCTCCATGATAACAACAAAAATGAAGGATGGAGAGTCCATCATGGCCCACTTGCAAAAGATGCAAAGATATGTGGACCTGTTGCTAAACTTAAATGTTAATTTCGACAAAGAGTTGACTATTTACATTATCCTACACTCCTTGCCTCCTTTTTATGATCAGTTCATAATGACTTATCATATGAACAAGGAGGAAGTCACTCTAAGCAGGCTTCAAGGCCTACTGAGAACTGCTGAAAGTAGTTTAAAAGGCAAGTCTGTTGTATCCATTCCTACTGCTGCTACCCCAGTTCTGGAAATTAGACATAGGAAAGGAAAGGAGAGGAAAGCTTCCTCAAAGAATCAAAAGGGAAAGTCTCATGACGGATCCTCTTCTAGTGGGTCTAAAGGTGGTTCTGCTACTCCCTCATCCAAT